GGGCAGTGCCAATAAAGGGAAGGAGGGAGTAAAGACCTCCCATTTGGAGCAGCATCCGGGGAGGGTCAGTGCCCCACCCCCGCCATGGGCAGGCCAGCCCCAGATCCCTAGGGATCTGTCCTATCCTGCTTAGATTCTTCCCATCTTAAATCCTTGGCTCACAAGGTTCCTTAGCTCCTCATCTCTCCCAGCTGCTTGAAGACAAGGCCCAGTCTATAAGCATCCTCCCCCAGGAAGCCTTCAAGGCAGCAGGAGGGCTAGCAGAGGCTTGGGGGTCTGAATCTCCCCTACTTCTGCCACTTGCTAGCTGTGAGACCTTTGGCAGTCAGTTTCCCTCTTGGAGCCTTTTTCTTCCTCTGTAAACTAGGATTCCTAATTCTTCCCTCACGTTTGCCATGCAGATTAAATAATATGTGGAAAATGCCTGACACGGGGAAGGTGCACAGTAAGTGCGAGTTTATTTTTATTCTGCTCAGCCACCCCCAAGCAGAAGGGATCTCTCTCCTGCACTCCCCCAACACTTCCTCTGTTCTACAGCCCTGATAACTTTCCGCTTTGTACTGTGGTTATTTGTGTAACGTGGCTTATTTACCCCTCTGCAGAGGATGCTCGTTTCCCCCACAGAATAGCCCAGCAGACAGTGTACATGGGCACATGTGTGTATGTGTGCATGTGCCCACATGTGTGGTTGTGTCTGTATATGTGCATGTCTGCACATATTCATGTCTGTTTCCATGTGACTGTGGATGTGTGCTTTTGATTCTAGGTTTGTTGGCCTTTGGATGTATCTGGTTTTGTACCTGTGTGTGCATGTGTGCGAGTGTGTGTGTGTGTGTGTGTGTGTGTGTGTGTGTACATGTACAAGCTTAGCTCCTGGCTCAGGAGAGTCCAGAAAGAGAGGGGTCTCCCAGACCCTTTCCGAAGTACAGGAATCCAAAGAAGGAATTACATTTGCTTGAGCTCTGCACAGATGAGAAACTGAGGTATAGAGAGGGAAAGTGACATGCCCAGACTCACATAGCTGATAAACTGGAAGCCAGGAACTGAAAGCTGAAAGCAGGCCTATCTACCTGTCCTCCGTGTGTGTGTGTGTGTGTGTGTGTGTGTGTGAGAGAGAGAGAGAGAGAGAGAGAGAGAGAGAGAGAGAGAGATTTTCCATGTGATCAGCATGTACCTGAGTGTTTTGGGGGCTCTGACTTGCAGGATTCCACACCCCCAGCTCCAATTTCTTCAGCCATGTGTGTGATCTCAGAAGCAAGTACTCTCATTTTTTTTGCCAGACCCTCTTATGCCAAAAAGTGGAGAGCTGGGGGCAGCACAGAGCCAGGAGTGGGGAGAGGCAACAAGATGTCATAAAAAGAAAGCCTAGGCTCTGGGTTTGAATCCTGGCTTTCTCAGTTAATAGCTGTGTGATCTTGAGTAAGTTTACACCCCCTCTATGAGCCTCAGTGTCCTCATCTATAAAATTGGGCTAATGGTGCCTGCTTCAATAAGTTAGGAGGACTCGATGAGCTAATTAAGCCCTTGACCGAGGGATAGAAGTAACTACAGAGCCCTATAGCAGCACAGAGGAGGGGCCTGTAAACCAGCCTGTGTGAAAAAGGTAGACAGGCATGGAAGGACACACCTGAGCTAAAATTTGAAGGGTGAGCAGGAGGTGGCCAGGTTGGGGTAATGAGGCAGGAGTCAGGTCAGGAGAGCCACCCATGGTCATGTTGAGGAAACTGGAGGTTATCCTATGGAGGATGATTACTATAAAACTGAAGTTAAGTCACATCCCTCCTCTACTGATCTAAATCAGAGCAAAAGCCAGTCTCCTGTGGGCTCAATGTCCTTCATAATTTGCTCCCCATTACCTCTCTGACCTTACCTCCCCTCTGTCTTTCCTCATTCACTCTGTTGCAGCTATACCAGCCTCTTCACTGCTCCTCAGACAGGCCAGGCACAGTTCTATCTCAGGGCCTTTGCACTGGCTGTACCCTCTATCTGTACTGCTTTTGCCTTAGCTCACTCCCTCACTTCCATCAGGGTTCTGCTTATATGCCATTTCCCCAAAAAGGCCTTCCCTGATCACCACATCTATAAAAGCACCTCATGCACTCTGCTTTATTTTCCTTCTTAGAGATTATCCCTATCTGAACTGATAGATTTATTTCTTTAATAGTCTACTTTCCCCATTACAGTATTACCTCCCCAAGGGAACACTCTTGTGTGTCTTGCTCACTGCATAGAGGGTGCTTAGTAGTTTGTTGAGTGAATTATGGGGAGCTGTGGAAGAGTTTCCATGGGAGATCAAAATGGTCAGATTCATATTTTTGAAAGCTCTCTCTTGCCACAGTATGGAGAAGAGTTTGGAAGAGGAGATTGGAGGATGTGGTACAAGTTCAGGTGAGATTTTTATTAAGCAACCACCTGAGAACATTCACTGACTCCCTTATGCCAGAAGTGTTTCTTGAGCATCTACTCTGGGCCAGGCCCCTTGATCTGTGTTAGCTAGGAGATTACCAAATTCTCTTCCTGTGCTGGGATTCTGGGAGCCATGCACACAAATAGCTGTCACGCTTTGCCAAAGCTAATCTGTGCCATAAAAAGAAGGACAGCCATGTGCTGTGTGTGGGAGCTCTGAACAGGATCAGCAATAATTTCTGGCTGGAGGCAGGATTCAGGAGGGCTTCTTAGTGGTGGCATATGACCTGAATCTTGACGGAACCAGGATGTGGGGAATTTCTCAGATTGCACATGGCAGAGATGATGGGGATTGCATAGAAGGTGGAAGGTAGTATATGAGCAGTCTTGGAGGTGGGAGACTGAAGAGCATCGGGGAGAAACAGGATCTGGGCCAGGATGGATGAAATAGGGAGGGGGCTGGCAGCCAGCCCCACAGTGTGGCTTAATGTTTGACAGTGTGGGCTTTGGAATCAGTCTGCCTGGATTTCAATCCTGGCTGTATCATTGGCAGCTGTGTGACAGTGAATACGTTACTTAACCTCTTTGGGCCTGTCTCTTTATGTGTAAAATGAAGATAAATAACAATATCTACCTCATAGGGTTGTTTGGAAAAGTAACCAAATTATTGCATATGAAGTGGTAAGAATGTTAAGTGCTCTATAATCATTGTCTGTTGTATCTTGAAGAGGTCTTAAGTGTCAGAATAAGGAATTTGGGCTATCTCTTGTGGGCAATGGGAGCTATCTATGGATGGTTCATGAGTAGAAGAGACAGTTGATCAAAGCTGAACTCAAGCAGTGTGCTGGGAGGGGAGATGTTTGTGAGGTTGGTGGGCAGGTCCTGCAGTCCTGAGGGAAAGGAGTCTCTTGGATGATGAGGGTGGGCTGGTTTGAGTTTAACCCATGGATGGTGATGTCAGCCCCCCCACCCCCTCCCCCACCCCCACCCCACCCCCCGCCAGGAGAAAGAGAATTTGAGGTGGAGGGCATTCCCGGAGTCTGTTTCTGCTTTGTCCAGGGCAGTGTTGCAGATATAATACTTGGGAGGGTGGAGGATGAGCAGTGGGTGGGAGTTCCCACCAGGGCGGAGCCCAGCTCTGTGACCCAGGGCCCAGCCTTATAACTGCAGTCTCCCTACCACACCCAGCCCCCAGTCCCCAGCACAGTGTTCTGCTGGGAGGCTGGTGGGCCTGTTGCAGCTCAAGCTCCTGTGCTGGTAGAGAACTCCCCATCCATATACCCCAGCTTGCCTCTCTGCCCTGTACTCTAGCCTCTCCCAAGTAGGGGCTGAGGAATGGGCCCTTAACCTTTTTACTATCCAAGAACCCCCCAACCATGTGCCCCCAAACCAGACCATTCTCTGGGCCCAGGCCACATCCATTCCCCCCACAACCTCCTCCATTCCTCACTTGCCTGCTTTTCCCCTCCTGAGCCCTCCTTTTGGTTCTCCCCACCTCTGTGGCTCCTCACCATGCCGGCTCAGCTCAGGGCTCCGGGGCTCTGTCGCCACCTGGGTTCCCTGGCAGCCTGGTTGCCATGGCACCGTGGGAGCAGGTCTGGCAGAACAACAGCTCTGGGTAACCCGGGTAGGCAAGACCTGGGGCCCAGCTTCTGCCACTCTTCGGCCTCGAGACCCCCTTTCCCTCCTCCCCAGCTGAGCAGAGGAGGCCATGAGAAGAAAGAGGAAGCTGCCCCGCAGGGCAGCTCTTTACCTGTGAGGATGTTGGATGGGAGGCGCCTCCCACTTTCGCTGAGCCCTCGCCCTCGCCCTGCCCTCGCAGCAGCAGCAGTAGCAGCAGCAGCCCTGGAACCCTGGGAACTGGCCAGGCCGGGCCTCCAGGCTGCTAAGGGCAGGGGCGGGGCTGCAGGGGTAGGGCTGGGTGGGGGAGGGGAGAGTCTGGGTGGGCAGGGTACAGGGGTGGGCCTTGGGCACCAGGGAAAAGGGTTGGGAGGGGATGACACTCCATGGAAACTGGTCTGGTGTGGCGCTGAGGATGGCACTGGGAGGAAAATCACAGCACACTGTGTCCAAGACAGGGCTCACCAAGGGATGGAGCTGGGAGGGCAGAGGTCTGGGAAGGGGGAAACTAGCCCATGGGAGGAGAGGAGAGTTTGAGGCTGGAGCTATTAGGGGACTTTTTTCTTTTAGGACTATTAGAAGAAGAAAAAAGGGCTAGAGAGGATGGGACTGGGAGGAGACTGGTGTGGGGATAAGGCTGTAAGGGATGAATAGGACTGGGGGCAAGAAAGCCTTGAGGGAAAGGCATCAGAGAGGATGGAGCTACAGGGAGAGAGAGATCTAAGGGTTGGGGGCGGAAGGGGAATGAGGAAAGGACTGAGAGCTAGAGGGCTTGATGGGAAGGGACTGTGGGGGCAGAGTGAGGAGACAGCTTGAGGATTAGGACTCCCCTTTAAGTGTTGGGGTCCCTGTATCTATGAGGAAGCAGGGAGAATGGGATTGGGGGCAGGGATTTGGTTCACTCACTCTCAGTCTGGCCCAGCAGGCCAATCTCCTGTTCCCACATCCTGGCTCATCTTATCTCATCCCCACAGTGTGGAGGGTGATGCCCCGGGCAGTGACCTGAGCACAGCAGTTGATAGTCCTGGGAGTCAACCCCCCTACCGACTGAGCCAGATGCCCCCCACCAGCAGCCACATGGGGGGCCCCCCTGCTGGGGTGGGCCTTCCCTGGTCTCAGCGGGCACGCCTCCAGCCAGCCAGTGTGGCCCTGAGGAAGCAGGAGGAGGAGGAGATAAAGCGCTCCAAGGCCCTATCGGACAGCTATGAACTCTCCACAGACCTGCAGGACAAGAAGGTGCAGAAGATATGGCTCTCTGGTTGGGAATGGAAGTGGGGTACAAAAGAGAACTGAGGGAGGGGTCGGGATATGGAGCTTGAGGGTGGTATCCAGGGAGGGATGATAAAACCAGAATTGGAAAAGACTGGCTCCAGGACCCTTTACGCTCCTGAGGACTCACTCATTTACCACCCGTCTACTGAATCTTGTATTCACTCAGCAAGCATTATTGAGCTCCCTGCCCAGGTCCTGGAGACCTGCCCCCAGTCTTCAAAAACATTCATTAGCACACACATCCGTTGACAGTTTCACAGTATGATACAATATATTGTTTAGCTTTTTGTTTTGAAAAGGGGGAAGGAGAGGACAAAATACTACATATAGGAAAACAGAAATCTGGAAGGGCATACCAAAATGTTAATTGTGGTTATGCCTAGGTGTTTGGACTTTAGGCAAACAAACCTACCTATCTCCCTTCCTCCTGACTTCTTTCCTCCCTGCCTGACTTCCTTTTTCTTTCTTTCCTTCTCTTCCTCTCAATTCTTTCTTCTTCCTTCTTTCTTGAAACTTCTTGCTCTTCATTTCCTTCCTTTCCTTTTTTGGTTTCTCTGATTTTTTTTCCTGCCTTTGAATAATCAATGTATACTTCTTATAAATGAAAACAATAACAACATAGTCCAAGCCCATGTGGCCAGTACTGAAATTCAAGAGAATTAGATTGGCACATCTGAGCAACTGTCAACAGCTAGCTGTGACTCCAATGGGGATGTGCTTGAAGGCCCAGGGCATAAGCCTGTAGCGTCTTTCTGACCTTGTTCCTCTTGGCCTTCCCCTGTCAGGTGGAAATGCTGGAGAGGAAGTATGGGGGCTCCTTCCTGAGCCGCAGGGCTGCCAGGACCATCCAGACGGCCTTCCGCCAATACCGCATGAACAAGAACTTTGAGCGGCTACGCAGCTCAGCTTCAGAGAGCCGCATGTCCCGCCGCATCATCCTGTCCAACATGCGGATGCAGTTCTCCTTTGAGGAGTATGAGAAGGCACAGAACCCAGCGTACTTCGAGGGCAAGCCTGCCTCGCTGGACGAGGGTGCCATGGCTGGTGCCCGGAGCCACCGTCTTGAACGGGGGCTCCCCTATGGAGGCTCTTGTGGTGGGGGCATTGATGGTGGTGGAAGCTCTGTCACCACATCTGGAGAGTTTTCTAATGACATCACAGAGCTCGAGGACTCCTTCTCCAAACAGGTCAGGAGCCCTGAAAAGGGCCTTTCTTCCCCATCCCCAGGCTCTGGCTGCTTCTACTGCTTTTTGCTCATATTCCCAATTGAAAGGAATTGCACTGCTGAGCATTTCATAGCAATAAATAGCTACAATCTGAGTTGGGACTGTGAAAGTGATGAGACAGAATTGGTGAGACAAAAAAAAAATTACATTGCTAAAGCAAGCCAGTTAAAATATGGGAGTATAGGATAAATAAGAAAATAAAAGTTATCACTATTTGGAACTTGATCTGCTATCATAAAAACTAGAAGGTAATGAGCTCTTACTGTGTGCCAGGCACCATGTATGCCTCCTAACAGACCTGTGAGATAGAGATTATTATCCCCATGTTTTCAGAGGAGATTGAGGCTGAGGCACTGGCCCTGGTACTTGTTCAGAAGGATCTCCCAATCTGGTGGGAAATAGCAGACATATGCATTCTACTATTTCCTGAAATAGAGTGTGCTCAAAGCCATGAGGAAGGATTCTATGAGGACCACAGAAAGCTTCTTGGAGAAAACAGCTTTGGAAATGGGCCTTACCAGACTGAGAAGATTTAGCAAGTTAGAGATAATTGAGGGGTGTCGCTTGCGGAGGCATTGCATCAGCAAAAACATGAGAATGTAACTGGCACTGATGGGAGTGGGAGATCATTCTAGGCTTGGGGTGTGTCAGCATAGCTGCCCAGGTATGAATCTAGTTCTGCCATTTCTCAGCTGTGTGACATTAGGCAAACGGTTTAACCTCACTGATTTACTTATTTGTTTTGTAGTATAGGGGATTGAACCCAGGGGTAACTTTACCACTAAACCATATCCCCAACCTTTTTTTAAAATTTTGAGGTGGGATCTCACTAAATTGCCCAGGCTGGCCTTGAACTTTCAGTCCTCCTGCCTTAGCCTCCTGAGTTGCTTGGATTATAGGCATGCACTACTATATTCCAGTAAGCCTTCTTTTTAGAGTGTTTTTTATTTTATTTCAGGTTTTTTTTTTTTGCAATGTTTTGAAGATTCATTTCAAGCTGGGCACAGTGGTGCACTCCTGTAATCCTAGTAACTCAGGAGGCTGAGGCAGGAGGATTGCAAGTTCAAGGCCACCCTGGGCAATTTAATGAGTCTCTGCCTCAGAATAAAAAAGGGTAGGGGATATATGTCAGTGATGATTCCCCCTAGCCTCCCCCCAAAAATGAAGATACATTTCAATTAGGTAACCCATATGGAAGCACCTAGTACATGGTAGCTGCTAAGTACATGTTAGGTTTCTTCCTAAACCAAGGAGGTGGAGTTGGGGATGTAGCTCAATGGTAGACCATTTGCCTAGCATGCACAAGCCCCCAGCACCCTCTACCTCCCAAAAAGGAATACCAAACCAATGATGTACTTGTTAGAAATTGAATGAATGAAACTTTATAAGAGAAGAAATAACTCTGCTCTATACTCTGTGATCTGGTCTTGCCATCAGCCTTCCTTAGAGCTAGTAAAGAGGTGGAAGAAAGTAGTATTGAAGCGAAGGTCTATATAATTCATCTACTCATTCATATGGAAAAGATTTAATTAAACATCTCTTCTGTGTCAAGCAATATATTGAACTGAGCTAAAAAGAGAAAAACCAGAACTGCACCCATCCCTCAAGGGAAGAATAGAGAATAAGGGATCACAGTCTGGTGAGAGAGATAGAGGAACAAGGCCTGGTCCCAGCTGTGGTGCTATACAAGTCTGATGGGGAAGTGTGTATCACTTATCTATTGCTACACAGCAAACTACTCCCAAATTTAATAGCTTAACACTGACCTTAGAAACTGTGCTTAAACAACAAACATAAATTATCTGAAGCCATTTCTTTTTGAGGGCCAGGAAGCTGGGAGGGGCTTGGCTGGATGGTTCTAGTTCAGGATCTCTCATGAAGCTGTGGTCAAGCTGTGTGGTAGGACTGCAATCTCTGAAGACTGGACTGGGACTGACAGGTCTACTGCTTTCAGGCTCACTTACTTGGCTGTTGGCAGGATTCAGTTCCTCACCACATGGTCCTCTCCCTGGGGCTGTTCATGATGTAGCTCCTCCCAGGTGAGGGGTCTGAGAGACAGAGAGAGAATACAAGCCAGCAAGAGAGTGCTCAAGATGAAGCCAGTCTTTTACAACCTAATACCAGAAGTCACATGCTTTCACTTCTACCATGTGTTGCTGGTTACACAGACCAACTGTGGTATAATGTGGTACCTGAGGGTGTGAATACCAGGAGTGGATATCTGTAAGGGCCAGTTTGGAAGCTGGATACCACAGGGAGGCAGAGTTCCCAGGTGTGGTCCAGATTCTTAAGGCTAAATTGAATGGGTTTCCTAAGAAAGAGCACTCTGGGAGCCCAGGATTTTGGTTTTCCCCAGGGGGATGGCAGAGGCAGGAATGTGGCTTGAATCAGGGAGGAGGTAGTATTTGGCTTGAATCTATATGGATACAAAGGAGACATTGGGGTGTCTGAGAAAGGACCTTGTGGTCATTAGCCTCAGCTCTTGTGAGCTCACAGTGGCTCCCTGGGAGTTATTTTATAAACCATAAAGAACCTGCCAAGGGTTGGGGGAGGGGATTATACTTTCTTGACCTACCCACCAGGAAGATTCCCCCTCTTTTCCTCCCCTCCTTCCCTCCCTTCCACCATTCTTCCCTTCATCTTCCCCCCCCAACCCTGTCCCTCCCTTTCCCTCCTCCCCTTCCCCTCTGTACAGGTAAAATCTCTGGCTGAATCCATCGATGAAGCCCTGAACTGCCACCCATCAGGGCCTATGTCAGAAGAGCCAGGGTCAGCCCAACTGGAGAAGCGGGAGTCAAAGGAACAGCAAGAGGACAGCTCAGCCACGTCCTTCAGTGACCTTCCCCTCTACCTGGATGACCCAGTTCCCCCACCATCCCCTGAGCGACTGCCCAGCACAGAGCCCCCACCCCAGGGCCGGCCTGAGTTCTGGGCACCAGCCCCCCTCCCTCCAGTTCCTCCACCAGTGCCACCAGGGACCCGGGAAGATGGTAGCCGTGAGGAAGGCACTCGCAGAGGTCCAGGGTGCTTGGAGTGCCGGGATTTCCGGCTGCGGGCTGCCCACCTTCCCTTGCTTACCATTGAGCCTCCTAGTGACAGCTCTGTGGACCTGAGTGACCGCTCAGATCGTGGCTCTGTCCACCGCCAGCTGGTATATGAGGCTGATGGCTGCAGCCCCCATGGGACCCTGAAGCACAAGGGGCCACCGGGCAGGGCCCCAATCCCGCACCGCCACTACCCAGCCCCTGAGGGCCCAGCCCCAGCCCCACCAGGGCCCTTGCCACCAGCCCCAAACAGTGGCACTGGGCCCAGTGGTGTGGCTGGGGGTCGGAGGTTGGGGAAATGCGAGGCAGCAGGCGAGAACTCTGATGGTGGAGATAATGAGAGCCTTGAGAGCTCCAGCAATTCCAATGAGACCATCAACTGCAGCTCTGGCTCCTCTTCTCGAGACAGTCTGAGGGAACCTCCGGCCACTGGTCTGTGCAAGCAGACTTACCAGCGGGAGACAAGGCACAGCTGGGACTCGCCAGCCTTCAACAACGACGTGGTACAGAGGCGGCATTACAGAATTGGCCTCAACCTTTTCAATAAGTATGTGCCCCCTGTTCTAGCCTCCTCACCCCTGCTTACTCTGCCAGTGGGCACTTTGGTCCTTGGGATTGAGCTCCAAGCAGCAACCTTGGTTCTACTAGCCTCTCATTTGGTAGAATGGTGTTTTTTTCCCAGATGTTCAGGGAAGAGGATTGAAAACAGAGTGGCAGAGTAGAGAGACCCCCAGCACACCCGGGTTCAGGTCCTAGTGCTGCCACTGACTGGCTGTGTGATCTTGGATAGATGTTTTCCACTAAATGAATTCTGAGCCTTATTTCCCCACCTCCCCTTTTCAGAGAGGAAGCAGTCTGGGTTATAAAGAGCCCTAGTCTGGGAAACAGGAGACCAAGACCCTTTGTCTGCCTTTGGCCACTCACTATGTAGCCCTGGGCAAGGTGTGTTCCTTCCTTGGGCTTTGTTTTTTCCATCTATCTATAAGCAGGGGGGTGTATTTGGGAGGTGTTGGGGGGACAGAGTGGTGTGCTAGACTACTCAGTGACCGTGACTGAGCTCTTTCTGGGTGCCTGGTCTCGTGCCAGGTGCTTAGGAGTGGGTTGGGAATGTGGCATTTGATGAGAAAATAATTCAAAAACATTAGCTGCAATTAGAAAATGTTAGCTGTAATGGAAGGCATTAGATGTAATGCCTCATATCTTCATAGTCTGTTAAACACTGCCACCTATATTTAATTCTCAGAGTAACTCAGCAAGTTGGGTAGTTATGTCCCTATTTTATAGACAAGGAATCGAGGCTCGCAGAACTAAAGAGGATTATTCACAGTCATACAACTGGGAAGTGATAGATTTGAGACTCCTAGAATACCAGTGTCTCCCAAATTTTAGCCTCCTGGAGAGCTAAGGTTCTAGGGCTCTGGATGTGGGATAGCTCCAACCCAGATTTTGGCCTGGCTCTCTAGAAACCTAAGGAGCACCTTGCCTGTAGAAATACTAAGGCTGGGTGATCAACCTACCGGGATGAGATATGGGACATGGAACAAAGTGACCCCTTCACTTCTTCTCAAACCTGAGGATGTGTGACTCAGAGAGACCACCTTGTCCTCTTCTCAGGCATTTTTTCAGGACTCCTGGTACCTGATAGAAATATGAAAGCTCCTGGCATAAAGCTGGCTCTCATTAGAAACTGATTTTCTTCCAACTGTGGTGTCATTCCAGTGAAGGAGGAAGTTGGGGTGAGGAGACCTTGGAATTTTGAAGCTCTGTGAAATGAGCAAGTGGTTTCCTCTCTTTTAGGCTTTAATTTTCTCATCTGTATCATGAAGAGATTGGACCATATTATAGATTTGATATCCTTGGTCCTCTGAAGCCGTTGCTAGTTGGGCCCCAAATTAGTTCTAGAAATGGGACAGAGGACAAAGTTCTAGAATGACTGTCATCTCACCCACCTCCTTTCTTTCTACAGGAAGCCAGAGAAAGGTATCCAGTATTTAATCGAGCGGGGCTTCCTGTCAGACACACCAGTGGGAGTGGCTCACTTCATCCTGGAGCGGAAAGGCCTGAGTCGGCAGATGATAGGGGAATTCCTAGGGAACCGGCAGAAGCAGTTCAACAGAGACGTGTTGGAGTGAGGACCCCAGCATGGGGCAGGCGGGCTTGGGATTCCCAGGAAAGGAAGCTAGCAGGGAAGAAGGGGACAGCTCGTCCTTGTTGATCAGATAAACTTTTCAAAACAGGATGAATAGGAATCTGATCTATCTTGATCTTACTTGGAAAGTCTACTGAGTGACCCTGGGCAGGGCATGCTCATCCTATGTCCTGCTTTGGGCCTCAGTTTTCCCATCTCTGGAATGAGTGGATTGATGGATAGGATCCCTAGTGACCACCTGTCCTGCCTTGATTTTCTGGGATGAATATATTTTACACATTCTGCCCTTAAATGTTCAGCCCACAGGTCTTGATTTTAGAAATCTATTGGTGGGGATATTAGTCCATTTGAGCAGGTCAGGGTGGATCAGAAGGGTTTGTGTGTGTGTATGTGTGTGTGTGTGTGTGTTTGTGTGTGTGTGTGTGGGGAAGAATTGAGAGTGCTGCATTCCCTTCTTTGTTCCTCAGCTGTGTTGTGGATGAGATGGATTTTTCTTCCATGGATCTGGATGACGCGCTCCGGAAGTTCCAATCCCATATCCGGGTTCAGGGTGAGGCCCAGAAAGTGGAGCGACTCATCGAAGCTTTTAGGTATGCCAGCTTTCCTCTCCTGAAGCTGTCCCTCTCCACTTTGGGGACCCATGTAGTGTATGTCTACAAGTCACTTCTCTGAGCCTCATACTTTTCTCACCATAAAACAGAAAAAATAAAACCTATCTTCCAAAGCAGTTGTGAAGATCAGAGGTAGTACATATAAAGTATCTAGATCAGCATCTGTAACATGGGCATTTAATAACAACACCAGAAATAAAAACTAACATTAACGGGGTTGGAGATGTACCTCAGTGGTAGAGCACTTGTCTAGCATGCACAAGGCCCTGGGTTCCATTCCCAGCTCGGCCAAAAAACTAAAAAAGCTAACATTCATGGAAGACATCCTAGGTATCAGGCACCAAACTGGACACTCTTACATGATTATTTCATTAAATACTTAAAAACCACTCTATGGGTAGGTGCTTCTATTATTCTGATTTTGCAGATTATAAATTAACTTGCCCAGGGCAGTGAGTAAGGAGTGGAACCAGGATTTGAACTTAAGTATGTCTGACTGCACAGTCCATCCATGCCCTTAACTGTTATACGGTACTATAAATGCTTTAAGGATCAGACAGGTGTGGGTCTGAAACCTGCTCCATTCCTTTGAAGTATTTAGAGGAGAAACAGAAGAGTTGCTGAGAACTTGTTTCCCATATGGGAGAAGGATTTGCTTTGAAGTCAGAAAGATATGGCTTTACCATTTACCAGCTGTATTACCTTGGGCAATTTACCTCACCACTTGGAACCTGAGAGAGAAAGAGAGAGAGAAAGTGAGAAAGAGAGAGGTAGGCTGAGGCAGGAGGATCATAAGTTCAAAACCAGCCTCAGCAACTTAGAGAGACCATAAGTAATTTAGCAAGAACCTGTATCCAAATCAAAAATAAAAAGGGGTGGGGATGTGGCTCAGTGGTTAAGTGCCCCTTGGTTCAATCCCTGATACCAAAAAAAGAAACAAAAAAGAAAAAGAAAAATCGAGAAAGAGAGGGGAAGAAGGAGAAAAATAGCTATTTTACAGGATTGTGAAAAGATTACATGAGACAATGAACAATACATAAAATGGGAAAGTTCCAAAAAGATAGTGATTGTTGTTTTTACATGTTAGTCTTGGGAGATCTGAAATGGACAGACCCAGAAGGCTAAGGAAGTATTTCTTGGAGAAAAGTGTTGGTTCTGCCAGCCTGGGCAAGTGGTGGGTAGGTAGAGATTGCTGGTACCTGAGTTTGGACTTGACCCTTCCTGCCCTACAGCCAGAGGTACTGTGTCTGTAACCCAGCCCTCGTGCGCCAGTTCCGGAACCCAGACACCATCTTCATCCTTGCTTTTGCCATCATCCTCCTCAATACCGACATGTACAGTCCTAGCGTCAAGGCTGAGCGGAAGATGAAACTAGATGACTTCATCAAGAACCTGAGAGGTGACCAGACTTATCATCAGCTTTTCCTACCCTTTGCCTGTGAAAGGAAAGTGGGTGGTGTGTGAGGTGGGGGAAGGATGAGGGAGATCCCAACTGTTTTTAGAAATTAACCTGTGTGGTGTTTCACTTTCTGTCAAGGCTGAATATCTCCAGGGCATTCACTTTTAAATTCACTCAGAGTCATTTTGAAAAGGGCTGGGGATGTAGTGCTTGCCTAGAATGCATGAGGCTTTGGGTTCGATCCCCAGCAACACATACACACAAAAAAATTGTTATTTGCCCATATACTCACCCACACGCTGAATATTTATTGAACATCTTATGTGTACCAGACTTCTAGGACCTAGCGTTATAGCACTGAATATGATAGATAAAAGTCCTGGCTCTTACATTATTTCACCCAGTCATTCACTTATCCATTCTTTGCTCTCTCCTTCCTTCTCTTCCTTATATATACCCATAAAGACTCATTTATTTTACGTACCCTTTCCTGCACTCACATATTCATTTATTCACTCAGCCACTAGTCAGTTGATTCTTAATGTGTGCCAGGCCCTATGATGGGTGCCAAGGACAATGGAGGAGAGTCTGCCATAGTCCCTGCTCTGAGAGCGCTCCCCATGTGTGGAAGAGACTGACTTGTAGTGCCCAGATAACCAACATAAGACAGATACTGAATAGTGATATTAGAAAAGCCAAAATCCAGTCAGACCTCGAAACAGCTCCGAGAGCCTACCTCCAACTGGCTTCCTGGAGGATTTTATTTTAAGTTGAGCCCTAAAGGCATGGATAAGGAGACAGAATAGATGTAGCGGAGGATAGCTAGTAGGAAGAACAAGGAAGGCACAGTGGGAGAAAAATGTAAAGTTGTTTAGAGAACAATGGAAATGGGGTAGATGATAGGTTGAGAAGGTCAGATGGAGCTACTACCTGAGGGCATTGAATGCCAGATGAAAGGTGTCACTTTGACTTGTTATTCTTGGTTTATTGTATTGATGTCAAGCCCTGCCTCTCACCAAAGAGCAGCCTGCTAAAAATGGAAACAGAAATGAAAGAAGAAAATAGAGTTGGGGGTGGGGGGGAGCCAAAATCAAGACAAAGTTGCTGAGCATCAGGGTCTATACAGTTAGTCGGCTTTAAACTCTCTGACAGCTAAAGTGAAAAAGGCAATACAGTGAAGAGTATTCCTTTAAGCCAAGTACCATGGTGCATGCCTGTAATCCTAGTGATTCTGGAGGCTAAGGCAGGAGGATCTTAAGTTCAAGGCCAGCACCAGCAGCTTATCGAGACCCTGTCTAAAAAAAAAAAAAAAAAGAGCTGGGGATGGATGGTAAAGTGCCCCTGGATTCAATCCCTAGTACTAAAAAAAAAATGTTCCTTTAGCACCTGTCCCAGGAGTAGGCGTGGCATTTCCAAAGGAGACATCATTTCCTCTAGCAGAAGGTTTAGAAAGAAGTGAGTGGGTTTCACTGAGCAGACAATCAGGAGGGGAGAAGGATGGTAGACTTAGGAGGAGGGAGTTAGATCAGAGGCCATCTGGAGCTGTCTATAAAAATCCTGCCATTATTCATTCATCTATTCCCTACCCCCCATGTGTATGTACAGTCAGCCCTCCATATATGCAGGTTCAACATCTGTGAATTCAACCAACTACAGATCAAAAATATTTGAAAAAAGTTGCATCTGTACTGAACATGTATAGAGTTTTTTCTTGTCATGATTCCCTAAACAATAAAGAATAAAAACTATTTACATAGCATTTATATTGTAATAAGTGTAAATAATCTAGAGGTGATTTTACATATGCTGGAGGATGTGTGTAGGTTATATGCAAATGCTATGCCATTTTGTATAAGAGACATGGACATCCTCAGATTTGGGTATTGATAGAACCAATCTCCCTTGCATATAGAAGGACAAATGTGATTCTGGAGGCTATGTGGGAAGGGGATGTCTGTGTGTATTTCCCCTCCAGTTATTGAATAAATAAAGCAAACAAATGAAAGTAATTCATGCTCACTTTAGAAACTTTGGGAGCCTGGGAATATAGCTCAGTGGTAGAGCATGTACTTAGTATGTATGAGCTCTAGTTCGAAACCGAGTACTGCCAAAACAATTTTTTTGGAAAAATATAGAAAATGTCTTTTTATGGTCTCAAATTCTGTCATTAGAGCATCCATGTTTAATATTTTGGTATATTCTGGTCTTTTTTCCATGCATATGTAACTTTCTATATAGTTAAGTTCATGTTATACATGCAATTTATTATCTTACTCTTTTCACTTAACTTGCTACAAGAATTTCCCCATGCTACTGAAATCTTTTTGTAAATGCCAAGTTTTTAACATCTGTATATTATCTTATTAAATGGATATACAAACCTTTACTTAACTGTTTCTCTCCTGTTAGAACTTAGGTTGTTTCGGAGTTTCCCAATAAGTAGCGTTTTGTGAACATTCTTGGACTTATATCTTGCATGTTATTTCTGAGTAATTTCTCAGGGCAGATTCCTAGAAGAGGAATCACTGGCTCTGGATATTTAGGCTTTTGCCAAACTACCTTCCATAATAGTCATGTTACTTACTATACATCCCCAGTTCTCTACGCTGGATATTATTTTTGTTAATTTAGAAGGCAAAAAAATACTATAATACTTAATTATAGTGTGTTCTGGGCTGTTTAGACAAAGTCTCTACCCTAGGGAAAAAAGCAATTGGCTGGTTTATTGAAGGGCAGCTTCCCTGCCCCAATCCTGGTCAAGGAATCAAGGGTACCCAATTAACCCTTGGTCCTAACTATTATCATGGTCCATATGTAGGTGTGGGATATTGTGGAAAACCCCTACCAATCACTCCCTACATTTATGTGACATATCCTGGGGTTACTCCCCTCATTCAGGGGTTGACAATGGTGAAGACATCCCCCGAGACCTCCTGGTGGGCATCTACCAGCGCATCCAGGGACGCGAACTACGAACCAATGATGACCATGTGTCCCAGGTGCAGGCCGTGGAGCGCATGATTGTTGGCAAGAAACCGGTAAGTGCCCTGGGAGGCTGCAGAGGGCCAGGGTTCTGGTCTTTCTCCACCATTATGTGGTAAGTCACTGTCCCTTATGAGCCCAGGGTTCCCTTCACCTACAAAATGGAGTGAGTGATAATGCATTCCTTGGGGTGGGGACAGTGTTGCAGATGGTGCAAGGCCCATAGCGGTTGCTATATAAATATTAGCATCCTTCCCACCTCTGGTTTTGCTTGCCCACTCCAAGTAAGGAGCCAAGCTAATATTAGCTGAGAAGCAGAGCAAGAATACACTTTGGTCAACAAACATTTATGAATGCCTTTCCACTGAGTTCAGCATTTCACAGGCCCCCGGAGACAAATGTAGGAATCAGATATGGTCTCTGTCCTTAGGGGCACTCAGAGACCAATGGGGTTGCCAGACAGACATTTATAATACTTCCACCTTATGGTCTAGTTTAGGGGAGTAAAAAGGAAGGAGAGGCCATTTTCAGCATGGGTAAATTAAGGAAACCTTAGAAGGGAAAATTTTGGAATTGGAATTCGAAAGAGGGATGGAATGTGGCCATGTGGAGCTGGACAGGAAAGGCATTACAGACAGAGGGTGCTACAGGGAACAAAGCAAAGTGTCAGAAAAGCTGGAGCTTTATAGTTTTTGTGTCAGAGTGAATGTTACAGTGCTGGGACCCTGAAGTTGATGGGCTGGCCTTGCTGACACTATTTCTCCATGCCTGTCCAGGTCCTGTCTCTTCCTCACCGTCGACTGGTTTGCTGCTGCCAGCTCTACGAGGTGCCAGATCCAAACCGCCCCCAGAGGCTAGGGCTGCATCAGCGGGAGGTCTTCCTCTTCAATGATCTCCTAGTGGTATGGGCATGGTGCTGGAGGAGATGGGAGGGAGCTGGTCAGCTTGGCTGCTGGATCTGTGTAAACCTTGTTGACATTGGTGTATGGAGCATGGCGGGTGAGGTGCTCTACTGTGCCATCTGCATGGTCACCAGCAAGGTCCAGGCCTTCTCTGCTTCTCCTTTTCCTCATGGGTTCATTTGTAGGTTGCCACAGTCACAAAGAGGCAGAAAATGGTTGACATACAAATTTGCAATATGGAAAGTGGTAGGAGAGATGTCCCTGTTCATCTTAATAGCCTGGAGGGTTGTGTGAAAAGAGGTGAACTGTGACCCTGGAATCAGTCTGAAACCTTCCAGTGGTCCTGATTGTGGAAGGTATTCTTGAAACCAAGCTCATCACCAGTACAGAGGTGTTTGTCTTTTAGGGATGGGACTTTCAAGTTCTTCTGGGTAAAAACCAATTTTGTAGATGGCCTATATGACTGCAGGGACAGAAACATACCCTCCTCCAAGGCATCCAGTTGTCTTATCAGACAGTTCTGATGGTTAGAATCTGTTTCCCTGTGGGTTTCCTCTAAGGATCTTCACTTGACCTTTGGGATAACAAAAGACATTGCTAAATGTCTTCTGGGTGGCAAAATAACCCCCAATTAAGAATCACTGCTTCAGACAAATATCTTCAATGCCCCCTCTGAGCCTGTTTCCTGCTGTGTGAAATGGAGCTAACCTGTACATCCTAGGGTTGTCATGAAGATGAAAAAGAGGTCATAGCCAGGAGTGGTGGTACTCCCAGAAACTTGGGAGGCTGAGGCAGGAGGATCACAAGTTCAAGGCCAACCTGGTCAACTCAGACACCATCTCAAAAAATAAAAAGGGCCAAGGATGTAGCCCAGTGGTAGAGTGCCCCTGGGTTCAATCCCCAGTACTGAAAAAAAAGTCATATGTGTATGTGGAATGGTGTTACCCTGAGGTGGGCCTGACCCACACAAGTGCTAAGTCAGTTTTAGATGCCCCTCGTGTGCTGACATCTGTGTCTAGCCCTATGCTGGGCACTGGGTATGTGAGATGAATCAGACTCAGTCCCTGTTCTCAGGAAGCTCACAGTCCCAAGGACTTAAAAAAGTACTTTGAATCACTGTGAGCTGTAATCATCCTGAAATCAAAACAGTTACTTTTTAAGAGCCATTTGCAGGGGCTGGGGCTGAAACCCAGTGATTCAGTGCCTAGCATGTGTAAGGCCCTGAGTTAGTTCCCTAGCACCACACACACAAAAAAAGGCACTAGAAGATTGCCTGAGCTCATGTTAGTGGAAAGTCCAGAGTGCCTAAGTACTTATAAAGCTCTTAGGTTGTTGAGAAAAAGACTTGTTAACTCTATAAATAGGCAGGGCAGAGAGTGCCATTCTGTGCTGGCTGTGGAGGGTGAGGACCAGGTGGGTGAGAGAACTTGAAAACCAGATTCCTGTCCTCCAGGCCAGTAGTGGGCAATTATATACTCAAAGGACTACCATAGAGCTCTAGATGGGAAAAGCACTGATCTGGCACTCTGGTGGAAACTCAGAAAAGGGAAATGAAAATCCATGTGGGGCGTTAGGATGGGCTTCCTAGAGGGAGCAGCATTCAGTCAGTTCCTGTAAAAATTGTAAATACTTGTGTGCATTGTCATGACATCAAGAATTTGGATAGAAAAATCCCATCTTTCCTGTTCTGTTCCTCAAGCTTCAGTTCTCCCCAACTTGTGGGTATATGTGTTTGTGTGTTTATGTCTCTTAGTGGGGGGGGGGTGGGAAGGGAGGGTGATTACTAGAATTAGGTGCCATGTGGAAATTCCCCACCCCAAACCCTGCCTCTTGTCTTTTTCCCACCCCTGCCAAAGGTCACCAAAATTTTCCAGAAGAAGAAGATCTTGGTGACATACAGCTTCCGTCAGTCCTTTCCCCTGGTGGAAATGCACATGCAGCTCTTCCAGAATTCATGTGAGTCCCTTCTTGGACCCCAGCATCTTGAGTCTATCCCATGGCCGCCATGCTCATCCTTCATCCATACCAGTCTTCAGGTTTTGGAGTCCTTTACAAATGGGTTAAGTTCTCCAAAGCACCTACCTGGTCCTGGGATGAAGAGCAGGCCAAGGTGGAGTGTGACTCAAGTCTGGCCCCTAGGGATCAGGGAAACACAGTGTGTGTGTGTTCCCTGGTGGGGCGAAGAGATGGTGATCATGCTGTGCTCTGAAGGACTGAACCAGGAGGAGCATGGTTGGGTGGCATTCAGGACAGCAAAATCATTGTGAGTAGAGGCAGAGGTACAAAGGAAAGGGTTTTTAGAAAGCAGTGCAGAACTGGGTTTTCCTTTACATCCTGGAGTATAATGAGTAAGAGGGCCACAACTATCAGGAGTTCGGGGGCAAAGGGGAACCACTAAAGACACTGGAGCAGAGATAGAGACACGTCAGAGTTGGGCATTAGAGAAATCATTTCCAAGCCAGGTTTGGTGGTGTAGTCTCATCACTGGGAGGCCAAGGCCAGAGTTTAAGACCAATCTGGGTAACATAGTGAGACCCTGTTTTGAAAAAAAAAAAAAAAAAAAGGAGAGAGAGAGAACTCATTTCCCATCTAAGCCACCTTGCTTTAGTTCTGCAGAGGCACCCAACTTTTCCTGTCCCCTCCCTTTACCCACAGATTACCAGTTTGGAATCAAGTTGCTGTCTGCAGTACCTGGTGGGGAGCGAAAAGTCCTTATCATCTTCAATGCCCCTAGCCTCCAAGACCGACTGCGCTTCACATCTGACCTGCGGGAGTCCATCGCTGAGGTGCAGGAGATGGAGAAGTACCGTGTGGAGTGTGAGTAACCCAGCCACGTGTCCTTCCCCCACTCTTGACATAGTGCCCTGCAGACATCAAGAATCCCATCTTCAGAGAATCTCAGAGTTGAGGGTTGGCTTGCATAAATTTCCTATCCTTATTCCAGGAACCCTTCATTCTCTGCTTGAATACCTTCAGTGCCAAGGAGCTCATTACCTCCCAACCTCAGATTACTATTCCAGGCTCTAAGAGCCAATGCCCTGGCCCCCACATCTATTCTCCAATTGGGAGCTAATTCTTCCTTCTATTAAAAGGCATCATGGAGAAGAAGCAGGGTATAGGAGGTAGATCTGTAGTTTCAGATCCTAGATATATGATTTATTATCTGGATAAACTAGAGCAAATCACTTAACCCCCTGAGCCCCAGTTTCTTCCTACATGAAATTGGGATGACCAGAAATCTCCTCCACAGAATTGAAGAGATGAAATGAAACAAGGCAGCCAAAGAGTCCCAATATATCCTAGGCGTTCAACAAATGTCATTCCCTATCTCACCCTCTCCTTCCCTCTTCCCACATATCAATTCCTGAGCTGAGTCTCAGCAACTTGTTCTCCCAGCCCTAGGGGGGCTACACCAAATCATCTTGAATCATATACAATGGAAAACAAAAGTGATTACATCTCATTTCCCCCGATGTCCTCCAAGTTTTTTCTTCTCCAGGCTAAGCAGTCACAGTTAAGTAACATGGTATTAAGGAGAGAGGCAGGCACACAGAGAGAGACAGAGGCGGTGGACAGCTCCTTGGTGAGGCCTTCACAGTTCCAGGGTCTACTCTACTCAGCAAGGCAGGGTTAGAAGTTTCAGTTCACCAAATCCCCAGAGACCCTTAGGAAATGCAGAGCAAGACATTAGCATATCAAGATGAGGGGAGGATAATTAGACTAGAGTTTCTATGACATGCTTGAAGAATTGGGGGTATAAGGAAGCCCGGAAAGCCCAAGCTCTGGAATCAGGAAGACCTGCTTCCAGAATGTTGGCTCCACCATTTCCAGCTATATGACCCTGGGCAAGCTCTATGACTTCTCGGATTCTCAGTTTCTTCCTCTGCACAATGTGGATGATGCTAATAATGTGGATTGAGAGGGATCAAGTATGTGTAGCACCCACCATACTGCCTGGCACATAATAGAGGATTTGATTCCTGTCAGTTTCCTGCTCCTGCCCTTCCAGGAGCCCCTCTGCCCTGGAGCAAGGTATCTGAGAACTGAGTGAGCTCTGGAAAGATTGTCCTCCATAGGCTAGAAGGGTCTTCTTGTCCTTACTGTGAACCATCTGCCTTGAAGTTCTTTTTTGAACTTCAGGGGTGTTTGGGGAGACCTGACTGCTAGACAGTAAGAAAGGGGAGGAGTACAAAGGGCAAAAGGAGGGGAAAAGGAGCAGGTAGGGCAGGCACTGAGAGGAAAGAACTAGCAGGAGGAAGTGGTGCAGGACAGGGTCTGGGCACCAAGGTGGCTTCAGAGACAGAGCTGCAGTTTGGGGGGAAATAAGTGCTGGCTGTCCAGGGGGCAAAACAAGAGGTCTGGGAGCCTGTGGAGGGCTGGGGCCAGTCAGGTGGGTTCCCACTCCCATTCCTGATCTTTGCACCCTGTCTCTTCCACTGTCACCCAGCGGAGCTGGAGAAGCAGAAAGGTATGATGCGGCCTAACGCCTCACAGCCTGGAGGGGCCAAGGACTCGGTGAATGGGACGCTGGCCCGCAGTAGCCTAGAGGACACTTATGGGGCAGGCGATGGGCTCAAACGGGGCGCACTCAGCAGTTCTCTGCGAGACCTCTCTGATGCAGGTAAGTCTTCTGGGCCCTGCCCTGGCTGGGGAGACATGGGACCGGGTGTCCTCTTTGCCTCCTGTCACTGGCCGCCAGACTTCCCTCCACCTGCTACACACGCACGCACCCTGCCTTCACCCAGAGCCCTGGGCACTGTGCCACAGGGGGCCTGGTAGCCAGGTCAGAACAGATGGAGCCCAGGGTTTGGGCCAGGGAGTGTGAAGTGGGGCCACGGGCTCAGCCCCTCTCTCTCGCTGCTCCTCCTCTCCTCCTCTTTTCCCTCTTCTGTCTCTCCTGTACCGCCTCTCCTCCTTCTCCATCTTTTCCTCCTCTTTCTCTTCCTTCTCCACCTCTCCTCCTCCCCACCTCCCCCTCTTCAATGGGGGAAAGGGATCATGGGGTGTCTGTCCCCGGGAGGGGCCCAGGCCTGGTGCCCAGCTCTGGAGCCCAGCAGGGTGGGGAGGGGGGGTTGCTGCTCTGACGCTGGGCTCCTTGCTTGTGGGTGCAGGGAAGCGGGGGCGGCGTAACAGCGTGGGATCGCTGGACAGCACCATCGAAGTAAGTGCCAGCTCCTGCCCCACTCATCCTCTGCATGAGCCCTGCCCCGGCCATGGAGCCCCAGAGGAGGAGGGGACCTGTTGCTTCCCCCTCTTCCCTGCTGGGAACCGTGTGGCTGCCTCTCCCAGCCTACCACTCTCTCCATCTGTCCTCAACTCTGTCTGTCCTCACTCTGCCTGTCTCTCAGTCTGTCTTCCACTCTCCCGTGCCCCCTCTCAACCCCAGGGCCAACTCCGAGTAGGGATGCCCTTGGACTTGGGCCTCAAGAAGCTCTTACCTCCAAGTCCTGCTCTTTGACCCTGAGCGAGTCACTCTGCTCTCTGGTCCTAACATTTTCCTGGCCTACAAAATGGGTGTGAGGAGGAGGTCCTACTAATTCTTCCTATGCCTGCTGAGGTTCATCCGAGATAGTGGATGTGACAGCAGAGCTTTGCCAGCTGGGGAGTTCCATGTACAAGTACAGGACTGCTGTTTGGTTTTCATCATCACTTGGGTGTCCCTGTCTCCCCAGCTCCAGCCCTCAGGGACAGGGGTGGTGTTTAGGGTTGCGGGTCTAGGATGTCTAGACTGGCCTGACTTCCCCCCCTCCCCGCTTCCAGGGGTCTGTTATTAGCAGTCCACGCCCTCACCAGAGGATGCCACCTCCGCCCCCACCCCCGCCGCCAGAGGAGTACAAGAGCCAGAGGCCAGTCTCCAACTCCTCATCCTTCCTGGGCTCCCTATTTGGAAGCAAGCGGGGCAAGGGGCCCTTCCAGATGCCACCACCGCCAACAGGCCAGGCCTCTGCCTCCTCTTCATCTGCTTCCTCTACCCACCACCATCACCACCACCACCACCATGGTCACAGCCACGGTGGCCTGGGGGTGCTGCCTGATGGGCAATCCAAGCTCCAAGCCCTGCATGCCCAATATTGCCAAGGACCAGGTCCTGCCCCACCACCCTACCTCCCACCCCAGCAGCCCCCTCTGCCCCCACCTCCACAGCAGCCCCCACCCCTGCCCCAACTGGGCTCCATTCCACCACCACCCGCCTCAGCCCCACCTGTGGGGCCACATCGCCACTTCCATGCTCATGGCCCTGTCCCAGGGCCTCAGCACTATACCTTGGGCCGGCCAGGCAGAGCTCCCAGACGAGGGGCTGGAGGACACCCTCAATTTGCTCCACATGGCCGCCACCCCCTGCACCAGCCCACATCCCCATTGCCCCTGTACAGTCCTGCCCCCCAGCACCCTCCTGCCCACAAACAGGGCCCCAAACACTTCATCTTCAGTCACCACCCACAGATGATGCCAGCAGCAGGCGCAGCCGGAGGCCCTGGATCCCGGCCACCCGGGGGCTCCTACTCCCACCCCCACCACCCCCAGTCACCCTTGTCACCACACTCACCCATCCCACCCCACCCCTCCTACCCGCCTCTCCCTCCACCCTCACCACACACCCCGCACTCACCTCTGCCTCCCACCTCCCCTCATGGCCCGCTGCACGCCTCTGGGCCCCCTGGCACTGCCAACCCACCCAGTGCAAACCCCAAGGCCAAGCCAAGCCGGATCAGCACCGTGGTCTGATGAATGGAGCAAGTGAGCTAGGAAACAGGAAGGTCTGGGGGAATTCACAGGAGAGGGACCTTGCCCTTCTCTCCCTCCCCAGTTTTTTTCAAAATATATATACACATAGCAATGTCCTCCTCTCACTTCCTCCCTGCCTCGGGGCCCCTCCTCCAAGCCCCTGCAGTTGCCACGGGGTTTCCTTCCAGATTAAAGGACCTTTACCACTTGCAGCCTGGACTCAGGGCACTCCAGAGCTGGGGAGTGGTGGGGGTCTTTCAGAGATCCTCGTCCTCTTTCACCTGTCTTCCTTTCCCCACCTTTTCCCTGGAGGTCTGGCTCGGTGGCCTCAGACCTCCGGGCCAATGTGAACCCCCTCACAGCTCTGGCTGGTGGAAAAGGGCAGCTGTCGGAGCTGTGGGGGTGAAGGCTTCCCCAGAGCTCCTCTGGCCATGTGGAGCTGGGAGAGAGCTCTGTAGAGTTGTGGCCAAACCTCAGCTGGCTCGGCCCTCTCTCTGACCTCAGGGCCTGGCCACACACCTCCATGTGTCTTTCTGCCTGCTGGAGGACACAGACTGTCAATGCACTGGGTGGGTGGGACCCTGCTTGGGCTGGCCCCCATGTGGGGCAGTGCTTCCTCTCTTGAGCCAGTCTATGCCCTCTCTCCAGTAAGCCCCAGCCCAGACCTCTTTGACTTCAGGAACTTGCCTCGCCCTGCAATGTTCTTATCCTGATCAAAGTCCAGACAGGTTTAGGGGGGGGCTCAGGTCTGGGATGAGAAGGGCACTGCCCTCCCTCACCCATATTGCATGCCCCCCCCATTCCCTTCCACCTCTCCCAGCAACAACCGAAGACAATGCACTTTATAGATATCACCCAAACACACCTCTCTGGGGCAGGGCACCCAGCATCAGCCCTGGGGAGAAGCTCCCAGAGGGCCATCCTGAGCCCAAGATGTCTTTCCTGAGGCAGAGATTGAAGCCATCAGAGCCGGGGCTGGGAGCCAGAATGCCTGAGTCCTTCTGTCCGTCAAAATCTCTGCTGCCTCTCCAGCCCTTTTGCAGCCCTGTTTATTTATTATAAATATATTTTTTACAAGCCCCAGCTCCTCTTCTTGCCCCGCACATTCAGCTCCTTTCTCAGCTCCTGCCTTCCTCTCCCCTCTCCACTATGGGCTGCAGTACAGACAGACAGATGGACCCTGGCGAATGGAAGGCCAGGGACCCTGGGGCTTGGGGGCCGGGGAGGGTGGTGGTGGGAGGGGCTGTATGGAGAGGAGCTGGGGTTCAGGCATTGTCTTTTTTTCCTCCTTGTATATAAGAATGTATATTTGATGCCTCATAAAAGAACTTGTGCTCACCTCCCGCCTCTGCCTCCTACTTATGTCCCCTATCCCCACTGTGGAGCCCATGGAGAAAGAGGCCTTAGCCTGGGGAGGTGATGCGCTAATGGTAGAAGTTCAGGTGGGCGAGATGCTTTGGTTTGTTAGGAGGTGGAACAAGAAAGGTTTCCCTGTCTTATTTCATACATAGTCTTTGTGACAAGAGTGGCAACAGTGTGGGCTCTAGAGTTGATCCAGTTCATATCCTGGGGTTTTCATTTCCTAGGCATGTGAACTTCGGGTGTCACCCTTTCTGAGCCTCAGTTTCCTGAATTTGCAACTTGGGGTGATCAGCCCTTGCCACATGGATTGTGATGATGACACGAGCTAACAAGTGTCAAGCAACAAGGATGGAGAGGTGTTCAGCAAATTAGTTCCCTTATTTTCCTTTGGCAGGTTGGATACTTCCAAGGTTTTATGGCCTCTATTCCTGTGGCTTTGCCTTGGAGCCCCCACCCTGCATGCAATGGCTGGTCACATTTCTGTCCTTAAGGGTGGGAGTGTGACTTGGGCCAGGAAGACACAGGGCTAGATACATTATAAGAGCTCTTTGTATATATTTAGATTGTTAGATAACAAATAACTGGACTGCCTTTCATTTACAGAGGAGGGGACAATCCACACAAAGTCAGGATGTGGTTTCCTGACTTCTAGCCCATGCCTCTTTCCAGTGCCCCAAGCTGCTTCCCTATGAAACAATCCTCTTTCTAGCTGATGATTGGCTTTTGACTTAGCAGAGGAGGGATGGAGCAGAGCATCCTGACCCTCTTGATTAGGGTCAGCAGGGTCCCCAGAAACAGCATTCAGTTAATATTTCTGCTGCATTCTGAGAATCTGGAATGGCCTCTAAGAAGGAATGGTTTGGATGGCCCCACTCTTTAGCAACTTGGACCAGTGTCTTGGTTTTCTTCCTCATTCACATTTAAAGGCATCCCAGGGAAGACAACTACAAAAGCAGCAACTGAGACTATCTAAGCATTTGATGTCTCCTTGCAAACCAGACCAGAGCGTTTTAAGAATTTAGGTACAAAAAGTCCCCAATCAAATTCAATCAGCATTTTTGTTTGTTTCTTCTCTGGTAATCCAAGATGGACTACCTTTGGTTGTTCCCCTTTCTCCCACCTTCAGCTTGAGGCTGGTTGCATCTTCCTAGAGCTCAGCCTTTAGCACTCAGATCCTGTCTCAGTGACTTGACTATGCTGCCCTTGGTGAGTCATCCAGCCCTTCAGAGCCTGTTTTTTCACCTGTAAGGAGGGGATAACAATCATGCAGTACAGTTGTTACTAGATGAAAGTGAAGCGCCTACCTCCTGCCAGACACACAGTAGTATTCTTGGCCACCTACAGAAACAAGTGCAAACTGCTAGTCTTGACACTGGGAGTTCTCCATGGGGTGGCCAGCTGATCTCTATAGTCTCCCATTCCTCCCTCACACTTGGATCATACACTCACTGTTCTCTGTAAGTGCCTGTGTGTACTTTCCAACCTCAGTATCTTACCTGTGCCTTTTCCCCCTGCCAGAGTGCCCCCCCAAACCACCAATATCCCTGATGGAGGTTTTCTCACTCTTGAAACACAGAATTAAAGGGACCATCCTTCACAAAATGTGTCCTTGATCAGATTCCCTGAGATTCTCTCATTATCTTCCCAACCAGGCCACAAGTGGCTTGAGAGTAACACTGATCTGTATCATCTCCATCCATAGCATTGCCTAGCACAGTGCCTGGCACAATACTGATGTCACTCAGATTTTATTAATGAAATGAATGAATGAATAATATTCTCTCTCTCTCTCTCTCTCTCTCTCTCTCTCTCTCTCTCTCTGTGTGTGTGTGTGTTTTGTTGGGGATTGAACCCAGGGCTTTATGCATGCTAGGCAAGCACCTTACCACTGAGCTATAACTCAGCCCTTTTTTCAAAAAATGTATTTTGGGACTGAAGCTTACTAAGTTGCCCATGTTGGTCTTGAATTTGTAATCCTCCTGCCTCAGCCTCCTGAGTTGCTGGGATTATAGGCATGTGCCACCACACCCGATTTGAATAGTTCTTTTATGCTTAGAATAAGGTATCTTTGTATTGGTTGATTTATTAATTGATGCAATCTTGTGTACCAAGCTTTTGGGACCCTCTGGGACCTCCTCATGCTTCCTTCAGCTCTTTCATAAGTTCTCTTCCTATCCTCATTGTGGTTCTAGCTCTAGGCTGTCCTTGCCCGTACCTTCTCCTTCTCAGTTGAGGTTCCTGGCCCAGACTTTGGAGCAGTAGTTCATCTCACCTCCCCATTTCTCTGAGGACCTGGAGACAAGAAGCCTATTGACTATTCTTATATCAAAGGACAAAGGTTCTAGGATCTCACGGAGTTCTTAACCTTTGTTCTAGACCAGCACTGTCCAATAAGTCTTTCTGTGCTGATGGAAATGTTCTTATCTCTGCTGTCCAATATGGTAACCACTAGACACATGTGGCCACTGAGCACTTGAAATGAGGCTAGTACAGCTGAGGAATTGAATTTTAAGATTTTAATTAAATTTAGAAGGATATGGTAGCACACACCAGTAATCCCAGTGACTCAGGAAGCTGAGGCAGGAGGATCACAAGTTTGAGGCCAGCCTGGGCAACTTAGTAAGACCCTGTCTCAAAGTGAAAAATAAAAAGTGCTGGGAATGATGTTTAGTGGTAGAGTGCCCCTCCATTCAATCCCCAGTACCAATAATAATTCAACTTAAATAGCCATTCATGGATGGTGTAAACCATAATGGACAGTGTAGGACAAGACTTTCAGGATTTGATAGCCTGGTGGGTAATGTCAGGACAATCTAAGATCAGGTCTGGAAAGAAACACTGGTTGTGTGGGGACACAAAGAACTCCTCCACTTGGGGGTGGGAGTAGGGTCAAGGAAGGTTTTCAGGAACTGCCCCTTTAGCTAAGTTTGAAGACTGAGAAGGAATTGGCATGCTAAAGAAGGTCATTCACTAGAGGGGGCAGCACGTGCAAGGGCCCAGAGGTGTGAGAAAATACAAGTATTAGTGGCATGGCAAGAAAGGGGAGAGTGCAGCTCAGGTGGTAGGCGCAGCATACAATGAAGCATGGAGGCAGATAGGCCTCCTCTGCTATGTTGCCAACAGGTTTTCCAACTGGCTTCAGCAGCAGCTAAAGAAATATCAGGTGATAGTTGGACTATATAGTATTTCCACTATAAAATTACTATTTTCCCCTTATAATGAATATTTTGTGGAGAGATGCATTGAGAATATGTAAATATCCTATTATTCCTCAAACTTTTACCCACCAGTTTTAACATTCACTGATGATTCTCCACTGAAACAATTACTATGGCTGAGGTTGCCAAATGGTGATTTTCAAATGCCATCATTCTTTTCATGTGTATTTGTTGGCTTTCCACTATAAGGTACAACTTTGCCTCCTCCCACATTTATTTATATCCTCATGGACTCATGGCTGTTTTACTCTATGGGTTATATATAACCCATTAACATCATTCTTTATTTTAATGTTCAGAATGCCCCAGATCTGGCCAGCAGGAAGCCCTTCAAGTTGGCTCCTGTGTCCTTTGGCATGTCTCCATCTTTCTTTGAGCACTTGCCTTTTTTCTGGCACCAAGAGATGCTTCAGACCTATCTTATGTTTTCCCTGCCCCAACTCTGGAAGCAGTCATTGTGTCCAAGGAGTCCTGATTCTTTCTAGTAGAGAATGGCATTTAGAAATCAAAGATTTGGGCAGTAGGTGTTATA